AACAAAGGAACTCAACTCCCCCTGCCCTATTCCTCCCACACTTGGGAAGGATCAAAGGAACACGATGGATGAGTTACCTCTGGGTTAAACTAACAACCAGCTTGGGAACCTATACAACGATGCCCACACATGTAACTCGGCACCCTCTCTAACTAGCTGCTCAGCTCCTGCAGATGAGGGTGCTTAGAAATAAGGTCTCAGTTCTGATCCTGGTCTTTCTTTCCAGATGCTCCTCTGGTCTCGACATCTGTTGTCTGTCTAGTTCTTGGGTCTCAGGCTCCTTAGAGATCAGCTGACCCGGAACCAGGGCGCAATCCCTCTGTAAATTCATAGAAGAAAGTTTGTTCCCAGTTACTAGAAGAATGCAAATGCTGCTGGATGACTTCCTGCTTCTGGCCTATTGCAGGGGGTATCCCCCGCACCGAGATGACCTTCCAGAGTCTTTCAGCCTCCAAAAGGGTTACATGTGGAAGTGAAAGTCACGGGTTTTGAACCTCGTCTTGCCACAGTTACTTCAACAGTTATCAAGACCTTCTTGAAATAAAGTTTCGACTATTAAACATAATAGATGCCTCGAGGACATTTTGGTATCAGGCATCCGGACGGGAAAAGAGTAAAGTGACGAGGGGTGACCGGAAGACCGACTCCAGGGAGGGTGGGAATCGTGGCCGGCCGCGGTGTCTGTCTTTGTTTCCTGTTGTTGCTGTAACAAATGACACCCATTTAGTGGCCGAAAACAATACGAATGTATTTTCCTGCCGTTGCGGAGGCCAGAAGTCTGAGATGAATCGTATGAGGCTGAAGGGGAGGTGCTGGCCGGCCTGGTTCCTCCTGGTGGCCCCAGGAAGCAATCCGTCCTTGGCCTCTTTGGGTATCTCTTGGCTGACGTCATCCTCGACTTGTAACCCATCACTCAATTTCTGCTTTTGTTGTTGCGCCGCCTGTCCTTTTGCAGCCAAATCTCCCCCGTCCTTCCTCTTACATACGTGTGGCTACATTTAGGTTGTACGAGCTCTTTGTAATCTGGATACGTGTCTTTTATCAGATGTGCGTTCTGCAAATATTTTCTTCTGGTCTTTTATTTCCTGGCTTTTCATTTTCTTTATGGTATCTTTGGAAGTACAGAACGTTTGAATGTTGATCAGGTCCATTTTAGTTTTTTGTGTTTTTTTTTCATATAGGAACCGCGCTGTGGCCTTACACTTGGCAAACCCTTGCTTAGCTCAAGCCTGAAGGCTTTCTTCTGTGTCTCCTTCTAAGAGTTTGTTTCAGCTTTTACGTCTGCAGAAGTCTGATTCATGTTGAATTAATCTTTGTGCGCAGTGTGAGGGGAGGGTCTGAGTTGGTCTTTCGCACACACATTCTATTTCATCACGAAACATTCTTCTCCGATGTTAATATGTATAAGAGCTTAATATCCCATTTCGTGAATATGAGGTGTGTCCAGAAAAAGTCCAGCCATTGTTAATATAACAAGAATGGCTTGCTCAATGTCGATGTAACCTGAACCTGGCAGCCCAGGAGAGTGGGCTGGAATGCGCATGTGTGAACAATGACGACTTCACTGTACTAGTCAGTGGGGGTGGTAGATGCCGTTGAGTGAGCATGTGTGCTGTGTGGCCGTCGCATTCAAAATGACTGAGCAAATAGAGCAATGAATCTGCATACAATTTTGCATTAAGCTTGAACATTCCTCCATGGAAACTATTCATGTGATTCAGAGGACCCCAGCTATGGGCAGCTGGTGATTGGCAGCTTCATCATGACAACATGCCTACTCATGCATCACATCTCATGCAAGACTTTTTTGGCAAAACATCAAATGTCCCAGGTGACTCAGGCCCCCTACAGCACAGATTTGGTGCCCTGCGACTTCTGGCTCTTCCCAAAACTAAAATTACCTTTGAAAAGGGAAGAGATTTCAGACTGTAGATGAGATTCAGGGAAATAGAATAGCGTGGCTGATGGCGATTGGGAAAATTGCGTGAGGTCCAAAGATGCCTACTTTGAAGGGAATTGAGGGGTCATTGTCCTATGTACAATGGTTGTTATTTCTTCTTCAATAAATGTCTCTATTTTTTATATTATATGGCTGGCCACTTTCTGGACAGACCTCACGTACAATGAACAGCGGGATCCCGGTGTTTAACAGCTGTCTCTCAAAACAAGCAAAACAAAACAAAAACCAACCAACCCACCAAACACCCTATCCCTGATGTGCAGCACTGCCCATTTCCCAGGTGTAAATGCCCTTAACCATGTCCAGGTTCAAGATACCAACATCATATGACTTTTATTATGGAGTTGGGAAGACAGCGGTTCTTGGGAACTGTGAGGCTGCGGCACATCATTACCAAATCTCTTTACCCAACCCCCTGGAATTTTCTTTTTTTTGCTATTTTGTTTGCTTCATGTTTGTTTCCCCTTTTACCTTCAACATACAAAAGGTGTCCGAGACAGCAGGAAGAAGCAGTCTATTTTGTTCACTGCTTTAACAAAGTGCTGGACCTCCAGGAAGCGTCTGTCTAGTTCTCTCTCAGAAGGAGCTGCACCTGTGGACAACATTGTTGCATCCTTCCTGCGATCACATCTACTAAAGACTTTCTATTTACTTTCAGGGCAACTCCCAGCCCTGCTTCCTGGCGAAAAGAAAGAAAACTGAGTTTCAAGAAAACAGAACTACAAAGCCGCTTGAACTTCTGCAATTTTGCAAAGAAACATTCAAAAGCGAAGTTATGGGGATGACTTCTCCTTTTTGCTATCCTCCTTAGGAACCCAGTGCGGACTGACACAAACACGGCAGGGCCCAGTGGTCCCGGCAGACGCCCCGCCACAACCCCGTGATGTCAAGTGCAAACGGCCACAACCTCTAGGCTTCCCGAAGGTGTCTTCATCATCCAAGCAACGCATGCGAATCACTAGTATGTGGCACTGTTTCAAAGAAAATGCTCCAGAACTTCCTCCTCAGGAAAACTTTGTAAGAAGTAAATAAATAAAATAAGAGGGCTCCTTGGAGGCAGAGGGTCTGTATAGAGAGCTAGTTAGTAAATCCCTGTTGGCAGCTGTGCAGCAGTCCACCTGGTGTGACCCACACTGTTACCAGGCGGGAAGAGGCAGAGGCATGGGATACCCCGGGAAGAGTGAGCAGCAGGACGTCCAGGGGAGTGGGGACCCCGAGCAATGAGCACCTCCCAACAAGGCCTTTCTTTCCAGTCTGTATACCTGCCCTGGTTTCCACTGCACCTTTCTCTTAATATGAAAAGTGGAGCTCAGACAGATGTTACCCAGGGGCTCCCAGCCCTTGAACACCTGCCTTAGAGAGCCTGTGCTCACAGGGTGCGCTGGGGTCACCTCCCGAACAGAAAGCTCCAGGTCAGTATTTTTTGGTGGCCTCCTGCTGCTGTTGACCATCTCCCGGCTCATTCCCCAACCCCCGGGCACATGGCTCCCCGTGCGCACGGTGGGAATCCTGCCCAACACCTGGTTCCCAGAGGGTGTCACGCTTCTGGGTCTTCTCAGAAGACCACCCGCCCTCATTCTGGATGCGCGCTCACCCCTACCTGGTTCTTCTCAGAAACTGCTTCTCATCTTCTTTCCTCTCTCTCCTTCTTTCCTCAACTTTCCCGATCTCTTTTTCTCTTTTCCCTTCCCTTCCCTTCCCTCCCTTCCTCCCTCCCTTTTCCTTCTTTCCTTCCTTCCTTCCTTCCGTTCTTTCTTTCTTCCCACAAAGAGCAGTTTTTCTTGTGAAAACAATGGCTAGTCCTGAAAGAGCGCACAGGTGAAAAAGAGCATCACCCTTCCTTGCAGCTTCGTCCAGTGTCAGTTTAGTGCATCTGGACTGACATTTCCCAGAATCCCTTGCCTGTAGAGGACCAGGTGAGTGTCCGCCAGGAGAGATAATGCATGTGTCATTTGCAAAGAAGAAGCGAGACTGTTGCACCAGGCCCTGTGGTGGCTTCCACACACTGCTGTCCACCCGCTGGCTCCTCTTGTGGGAGCTGGGCAGCACCTGGACCCGCAGCAACTGGTCCCTGCTGCTCCTGAGTCCTGGGCCAGGTGCCCGTGTGTCACCATGGGGAAGGGCAACTTCGGAGCAGGTCACTGTCCACACACTTCGTCCTCGTGAGGTCTAATTGTCCGTGGGGGTTGCAGTTTGTCCTGATAGGTTCCACTTTGTCCTTGCTGCTGTCCACACCTAGCTTTTCTTCCTGACTGCCCATGTGGCTGACCTGTGGAGACTTTCCTCCTGTGGTCAGAGGCCAGGCGGCAGCCTGTGCACACTCGCTGGCCAGCTCCCGCAATGCACACAGTGCCATTTCTAAACCCAGGGTCCAGACTTTCCCTCTTGTTTCAGGGCTTTTTCCTCAGTGCCCTGAGGCCAAAGCAAATACTGGACTGCTCCCCTTGCGAAGTGGCTAGATCCAAACAACTGAAGTGTTTTTGTGTATAGCTGTTTGAAAACACACATCAATTAGAAAAAAAATTACTTTATTTTATTTTTAAACACTCAGTGCCACAAGACAATGCACCGAAATACTAACATCTCAGAGAGGCTGGATTTGAGGAGTGGGAATGCAGGCGCATCTCTTTACTGCTTTGGGCTTTTTATCTGTGTCCAGTTTCCTACAAAGCACATGCATTGCTTTCGTAACAAGGAAAAAAAAGCACTATTTCAAAAGTGGAACTGGAGGATGTCCTGAAACATTCATTATCATGATATGGTTGTGGGTCAGATTTTGGTTTCTGATGCAGCTGTATTGCGCTGAAGTAACGGACCGGTGTTTTTTGGTTCCACTGAGCCGCCTCCTCTCCACGCTGCAGAGGGGGCCGGCAGGCTGCCAGGGCAGAGCTGACATGCACCTTAGCTTCCAAAGCCTATGTTTGTCCCCATTTTCTATGTGGAGGCATAAGCCCAGTGCAGAGTGACCTCCTCCTCGCTAGACAAAAGTTTTCTAAACCTTCGTGATGCCAGCTTCTTCATGCAAAGATAACACGCAAACATAGCAGGTCCCCGCCTGAATAGGAGGGTGGCTTGGTAAGAGCACACTGGTGTCCAGAAGGAGAGAGGCCAGCCCAGTGGTGGTGTGGTGTTGTTAGGTAGGACACCCAGCCCCTTAGCGTGCTTTCTGTCCCCAAGGGCCTTTCTCCCGTTGGCTGTTCTGGCACTATAGGCTCGACAGCACCGCACCCCCCAACCTGGGCTCTGTTGGCGTGTGTCCACCTCACTGAGCACAGGGCTCTTCCAGAACATTCCCAGCACCCCCTCCCCCCAATCCTGTACCTGTGTCTCCCAGGGTCTACTTTGACAGGAGCTGATCTTCAGTCGCCATGTGTGATTGAATTGATTTGTGCAAGTGATAATGGCGTCATGAGTCCATTCAAGTGCATTCCTGCCATGGAATTCAGCGCAGACACCAAAAACAAAGCTTTGAAATAATGTATTGCCCCGGAAAAGCGATCGAACATCCTACTACTTAAAAACAACCAGGGCAGAAGGGAGTCCAGAGGGAGCCGGGGAGTACAGAAGTCCATCTTCGTTACAGTCATCAACATGCACCAAGAGAAGAAACAAGCTGAAAGAAAGCACATCGAACATATACAGTGGCTGCCTTTGGGTAGTGGGGCTTATGGGTGATCTTGATGTCTGGGTTTGTTCCCTTTGTGTTAAGCATTTTTAGAAATAGTTTTTGCTACTAGGAAATGGAGTTTTAAGGAAATCTAAGTCTGAGGAACAAGGGAACAGAGACATGAGAAATAGGAGGTCCTTGCTGGGAGGTGAAGTGTTAGGGACATTGAGGGGAAATACGTTTCTTTGGGGGAAGGGCCTTCTCCACCTCCTACATGAAGGCAGAGTCCCCAGCCCACCCGCCTGGTCTGCTCCTCTGTTCCAGCCTCAGATGCCATCAGCGGGCGCACCGGTCAGTTTTCTGAGGATGGATGCGAGGTGGTGGGCAGAGCTCTGGTCCATCGAACCAGAGACCCGGAGGAAGAAAATCAACCCGTGTCCTTGGGCCCCTGGGTCATGTCGGCAATAAAGCTGTTTCCTGCCGCATCGCCCGACTGATAGGGAAGGGAGATTGTGAAAATGCTCAGAAAGAAAGGCACGGTCATCGGAGTGACGATCCCCTTCCTTCTGTGGCTGTTGCCAGAAGTACCACACATTATACGCACGGTCTTTGTCTAGCCCGCTGCCTGCGTGGTTTGGTTTTGGTGAATACAAGAATTTTCTCTAAGGGAAGTTCCAGGGCAACAGCAGTTTCCTATTCCTATTTCCCATTAGGTCTCAAGGTCATGAGTCCCTTGTTCCTCAAGGTTTCCAAGAGCCGAAACCCTGCAATCAGGGATCATGCCGGGGCATGGCTGTGGGCCGAGTCAACTGCAGAAATCACTATTTCCAAGTTCATCGGTGGTGGGGGAGGAGGCTGGGGTGGGGGAGGAGACAGGAGGGGGTTGCTCAGTGACTTTGTTTGCAAATGTTGACCTTCGCAAACCTGCAACCCTGTTTGGGTGAAAGACCTTTCCCATCACCCTTTGTCCCGTCTTCTCCAATGTCCCAGTTCACTCATTCATCTCCAGGGAGAAGTGTACGGAGAAGACTCCAGCCACGGAAGTGATTTCGTGTAGACCACCTCACCCCCGGGCGGTGCCCGCTCCGCGCTGCGCCAGGGGTCGGAATCTGAGCGGCCTCCTCCCCCGTCAGCGTGCCTGGCAGGCCACTCTTGCCAGGGGCTGAGTCAGAACCCGTTAGAGAGCTCCTGCTCCCCGGTGGAGGGGGGCATGGAGCTGGCCCTCTCCAGCCTGTCGGTGCGGAGGAAGGGCTGCCACTTCCCCAGGGGCACGGACAGGAGCCGGTGGAACAGCTGGCGCAGGTACTTGCGGAACCTCTGGCCGACGAAGACGTAGATGATGGGGTTGATGCAGCAGTGCGAGTAGGCGATCATCTCCGTCACCTGTATGGCCACGTCCAGCTGTTTGCTCTGCTTACACTGACTGGACAAGATGGTGTTTTGGAAAGCAGAAACAAATATAGTCAGATTGAAGGGCGTCCAAAAGAGAAAGAAGATGAGCATGACGACAAAAATCAGACGGACGGCCTTGGCCTTCTTCTCGTTGGGCCGCCGGAGCAGGATCCTGATAATCCCCGTGTAGCACACGACCATGACCACCAGGGGCAAAATCAGCCCCGCGATGTTGAGCTTCAGGGCCTGGAACTGCCTCCACTGCTGCAGGTGTTCCTGAGGGAAGTGAAGGCTGCAGGTGCGACGACCGAACTCCTCTTGCGTCTTAGAAAAGTAAAAGCCCGGGATGGCAGCCAGGAAGGCCAGGGCCCAGACAATGCCGCTGGTGATGACGCCAAAGGTGACGGTCCGGATCCGCAGTGCAAACACGGCGTGGACGATGGCCAGGTACCTGTCGATGGTCAGCAGGATGATGAAAAAGATCTCGCTGTACAGGCCTACATAATAAAACCCCGACAGCAACTTGCACATCCCGTTGCCGAACACCCAGTTATCCTTCAGGCTGTAGTCAATCCAGAAGGGCAGCGTGAAGAGGAAGAGCAGGTCAGAGAAGGCCAGGTTCAGGAGGTAGACGCTGGTCATGCTCTTGAGCCTCTTGTACTGCATGAGGACCAGGACCACCAGGATGTTGCCGACCAGGCCAACGACAAACACCAGGGAGTACAATGGGGGCAGCAGCTGAGCCCCCAAAGCCCTCAAGTCCTGTTTACTGCATGGGGTTGCACCCTCCCCATAGTCAATTTCTGTGGTCCCATCATAGTTCTTTGGGACCGTGGTGTTTTCCATCCTGGCTTCTCCCACGGGTCCAGGAAGATGGTTTCTGTATTCCCTTTGCTGTTAAGGGCAGTGGGCTCTGGACAACAAAGACAAGGCAGCGATTATACGTCTTCAGCTATTTGACAACTGTTTGCTGAGTGCCTACTGTGTGCCATGCCCTGGGACCTAAGGATGACCAAGGGAACCTGGTCTTCCCTCTGCCCTCATGGAAACTATACTTTAACGGGGAGTGGAGGGGCCAACCAGCAAATGAGTGTGCAAACTGTGACTTCGACTACTTGTCACTGAGTGTCGTGAAGGAAAAGTCTGGGGGACAGAGAACCCAGACAAAGGGAGACCTCGCCCACATTCTCCATCACCCATGCTTCCCTCATGCTTCCTGCGGACTTGGAATCGGACCTGGTGCTAACCAACCCCGGAGGGCACCGTTACTGCTGCCCATTTTAGAGGGGGTGACACGGAAGTCTGACGTGGTGAGGACCCACGCGTGGTGAGGACCCACGCGTGGTGAGAATGAGAGCCGCAGCCGGATCCTGGCGCGCATCACTCTCCTGCCCACTCCTGAGACCACTCAGCTTTCCTGCCTGCAGCTGCGTAGCACCGACCTTGCCCTTCCTCTGGAGTCCACAGAAGGACATGGGATGGAAAATAGTCCTGGCTGAGAGTCGAAAACGAACTGATGGATTTTCACGGCTTTGGAGGCTAAAACGATTCTCAGCGAGGGTGACACAGAGCGCTGGGGGCATGTGAAAATATGTGGGTATTTGATGTGGGTATAAAACATGTGGGTATTTGATATGGGTATAAAATATGTGGGTTTTGGGTTGTCACAAAGCCTAGGAGATGCTCCTGTTGTTTGGTGGGCAGGGCCACGGATGTCCTACAGGGCACAAGCCATCCCACCCACACCCCGATAGTGTGGCCATAGTGAAATTCTAGGAAGCCAACCCCGTCCCTTAATTGAGGACACCGAGGACACCAGCAGGGCCCTGATGGGGCACAGGCAGGTTGACAGTAACTCTGGAGGCCTCCTGTGAGAGCCGTGAGGATTTGCAGGAAAGCACAGGCTGGGGGGAGTGGGGTGACCTGGTGAGAAGAAAGGGGGAGAAAGAGCTCAGAACAGCTTCAAGCCACGAGGCATTGCTCAACATCAAGGTGGAAGCTGAAGTAAGCTCCTAAATAGCTGTCTTTACCCAAGATTATGTTGAAACAAACACACACAAAAGAGAGCCACTGGAGAGCCCGCCTGCAGGAAGTGCCCCAAGCCCTGGTCTCTAGCCCCCCTCCCGCTCCCTGCTGACCGCTCACTGAGACTCGGGGAACCTATGGCTGTGCGAACTCGAGGACGTTCATCTGCCTCTGAGCCTCGGTTCCCCCTCTGTAACGTGGGAAAGGAAGGGTTACCTTGAAGGGCTACTGTAGGGTGAAATACGAGACAAGCCCCCCAGGAGACTCACCAGGACCTTAGGAAATATTAGTGGACTATTGGGGCACGCCTTCCCTGTGGGGACATTTCCCGGAGGCCCGTTGCCACCAGGAATGTTGCAGGCACCCGTCCTATCCTGGCTGAGGAACCCCGCCCCCCCCAGGCGCCCGCACCAGGTCTCTCTGTAGCTCATCCAGAAAGCGAATTCTGCTCGACAGTGATGGACACGACAGCCCCTCCCCATGTGAACTGGGCTTTGAAACTTTCAGTATGTTGCCACCAGTCTGAGGTGCTTTGACTTAAACACCAACCAGTAACGTAGGTGGACCCTATATCACACTTCCCAGCTTCAGTCCGCAGCCTCTGGTGCTCTTCCCTCTACACTCTGCTCAATGCCTGTTTCCTGCCCAGAGATTTACACTGTGCACTGGCCACTGGAAATGAAGCGCACACAGGGTGTTGGGCACCTCAGCCGGGGCAGCGTTATTTCCTGCCGAGTCCACTCCTCTGGCTCTCTCCTCCTTCTCTGGATTTGCCCCTCGGTTGAGTAATCAGCCCTCTTTCTGGAGAAACCCGGACTGGCAGTTGCTAACGAGCCCTGTTGACAATGCCTGATCTCCACTGTCACTGGCGGTGCTGGCAGATCAGCCGGCCAGCCAGCAGTTCGGGCCCAGTGGGTTCACAGTGCACGCAGCAAGTAGCTTGGAAGCACAAAGAGCTGCTAGTGCAAGACTGACCCCCTAAGCCCAGTTTTGGGCGGAATTTTGGCAATGGTAAAGGCACGCTGAGTCAGTGTTATAAGAAGCCATTCTGAACTGAGAGTTCCCTCCATACCCCCGACCCTCAACAGCATCCACTGTGTTTCCAACTTGTTGGGCACCAGGCAGCAACCTCAGGACACGCTGCCCCAGAGGGAGAGGGGCTGGGCTGGGGCCCAGGAGGAGAAACCGAGGACCATGCTGCTATCCAACCTGGCAGCCACGCTGTATACAGTCTGCTGCAAAAGTCTGCCCCAAGGCCATTCATTCATTGCCCAGGGGTCAGCTCTGGCCCTGGAGCCTGGAACCTCCCTGTGCCAACATCCTCCAGCCTGGGAGTCTCTGAGCAGAGGGTCTGTGAGGGTAATGACACCAGGCCTGCTGGCCTGCAGGAGCTGGCCTAGCCGGGCTCATGAGAACCAGTCATGTGCATGTTTTCTCAGCTCCACATTCGGCGTGGAGCTGAAATCCACCATCGTGGGAGTATCTACGCATGGGAATCGGCAAGACTAGAAATCAGGACTCTTTTTTAGGGCTCTTAGTAGCAATCAATGCTTCCCCCGAACCCCGCCCCCAGTCTGAGTAGCCCAAGAGCTGTCCGGCCGGTCACAGTGGGGACTGCAGGGCCGGTGAGTGGCACGCAGCCCGGTGGCAGGCTGTGCAAACTCCTGGGCCTTGCTAACTCTGGAAACCCGAGGCCCTCCCGAGTTGATGGGGCCCCCGTGCCCCTCTGTCTTCGGACCACAGCTCTGCTGACTCTCTGCTAGAACAGAATAGATGCATCCCAAGAGGTCCTCCGGCCAGCCCCCTGCCTTCGGCTGGGTGGAATTCTACCTCCTGCAAACCCAGCCCGCAGTCTGATCTTGAGGATCCTCGGTCCTAGTCTTCTTCAGAAGCGGGTTCAGTATCCGATCATCCTTACATCCGCCAAGGCCTTCCTCGTTCATGCCTCCCTCTTGCTGCACTGACTCCATATTCCAGCTACGGTTTTCACTTACACGGGGAAAATTGGGCAAGTAAATTCCTCTCGAATAGCCTTCTACAGAAAGTGCCTCTTGTCCCTTAATACTGGGCCAACTTACTTTTAAAAAAAAATTATCCTCACGCAAGGCCATTTTATTCATGGCTTTTACAGAGAGAGAAACATCATTGCGAGAAAGAATCAATTGGTTGCCTCCCACATGAGCCTGGACCAGGGACTGTACATGCCCAGGCCGGGGATCAAGAATGAAACTCGCAACCCAGGAATGTACCCTGACCAGGAATCCAACCCACAACCTTCCTGTTATGGGATAAAACTCCAACCAATCGAGCGAGCTACACTGGCCAGGGCTGGGCTGACTTTCTTAGTGACTAACAACCCATCATTCAAGAAAGCTTCCCTTTTTGAGCAAAAATAAAAACCTGGTTTACATCCGAGTGCCCAGTATCATAAATCCACCCATTTTCAGTGTTGCTACACAGCTCATTGCCTTCCAGAAGCGTCTGCGGGCTGCTCAGACACACTGCACGCACGTACTCTCACCAGATTCCCTCCAGGGAGGACGACAAGACAGAAAAGACAAGGGCCACTTACGCTGGTGTCAAGGAGCTTTGTCCACAGAGTCTTTGTTTCTGGAGCGTTTAGAGTCTTTGTTTTCAAGGTTCAAGGTCTCAATAGAATAGGAGGAAGTCCTCAGCTTCCTGTGTAGTGATGGAGACAGGACTCTGGGGTTCTTGGTCGTTCAGAATGACTAGGAGGGGACAGAAGTCTTCCTCTTGTGTGGTTGGGTGTCCATGCACGGCCACAATGCCCACCAGCGGCCAGTTGCTGGAGGCTAAGGTCACTCTAAGGACTTTTTCTGGTCACTGGATTGTACTTTGCCCTGGGGAGCTCTGTCTTAAGGGATCAGGAGAGTGGGGTAGGGTGGAACTCAGTGGAGCAAGGTGGGTGCCAGCACAATTCTGAGAACTTGTGGAGCAATTGCAGGCTGGGAATTGAGGTGGGAGGGACGAATGCAGGGCGTGGAGCTCTTGTGGTCAGTAAGCAGGCTTTTTTTCTTTCCTTTAAAGATTGCAAGTACCCTGGGTCCTGTGTTCCTCAAAATGATCCGGCTGATAAAAGCCAGAGAGCAGAGGCAGCTTCTCTCTGGCGCCCTCTATGCCCTGGGCTTCTGACAGCTCCAAACCCCCCATCTCCTCCTCTGTCCTTGCCCTCCAGGCTCCCTGCCCAAAACCCACAGAGCAGTTTTATTGAGAGGGGCCTCCAGCCTGCAGGGAATCCAGGGCCGGTGCACGGAGCCTGGCAATGGGCCGCCACGGGCCACGTTCCAATCCCAGCTCTTCACTTGAGTCACAGGCAGATCACTAGCCTTTCCCAGTCTTGGTTCCCCTCCATCCGATGAGTATGCTGAACGCTTAGGCCCACAGGAGGATGCGAGAGGTCGGCTTGTAGGCGAAAAACGTCATGGGCGTCAGGCACGAGGAAACATGTCCGATGAGTGATGCTCACGACCGTCCTCCCCACGACTACCGGCGCCTGCTGGCCGCCTGTGCCCCTCAGATTATTCCACCTGCTTCTCTGTGAAACGGGGATTCTGCCAACCTTTCCTGCAGGCCCCACTGCCAAGTGCCACTCAGAAATCATGAACGTGGACGTCCTCTGAAACTGTCACTTGTCCCTTCAAGGCTCGGTTTCCTGGTCTATAAAAATGTGATAAGCTGGCTGCAGCACATCATTACCGAATCTCTTTACCCAATCCCCTGGATTTTTTTGTTTGTTTGCTTCTTGTTTGTTTCCCCTTTTACCTTCAACATACAAAAAGGTGTCCGACATAGCAGGAAGAAGCAGTCTATTTTGTTCACTGCTTTAACGTCTGTGTAGTTCTCTCTCAGAATGAGCTGCACCTGTGGACAACATTGTTGCATCCTTCCTGTGGTCACATCTACTAAAGACTTTCTATTTACTTTCAGGGCAACTCCCAGCCCTGCTTCCTGGCGAAAATTAAGAAAATTGAGTTTCGAGAGAACAAAAGTACAAAGCTGCTTGAACTTCTGCAGTTTTGCAAAGACACACTCAAAGTGAAGTTATGGGGGTGACTTCTCCTTTTTGCTATCCTCCTTAGGAACCCAGTGCGGACTGGCACAAACACGGCAGGGCCCAGTGGTCCCGGCAGACGCCCTGCCGCAACCCCGTGATGTCAAGTGCAAACGGCCACAACCTCTAGGCTTCCCGAAGGTGTCTTCATCATCCAAGCAACGCATGCGAATCACTAGTATGTGGCACTGTTTCAAAGAAAATGCACCAGGACTTCCTCTTCAGGAAAACTTTGTAAGAAGTAAATAAATAAAATAACGGGCTCCTCGGAGGCAGAGGGTCTGTATAGAGAGCTAGTTAGTAAATCCCTGTTGGCAGCTGTGCAGCAGTCCACCCAGTGTGACCCACACTGTTACCAGGAGGGAAGAGGCAGAGTCATGGGATACCCCGGGAAGAGTGAGCAGCAGGAAGTCCAGGGGAGTGGGGACCCTGAGCAATGAGCACCTCCCAACAAGGCCTTTCTTTCCAGTCTGTATACCTGCCCTGGTTTCCACTGCACCTTTCTCTTAATATGAAAAGTGGAGCTCAGACAGATGTTACCCAGGGGCTCCCAGCCCTTGAACACCTGCCTTAGAGAGCCTGTGCTCACAGGGTGCGCTGGGGTCACCTCCCGAACAGAAAGCTCCAAGTCAGTATTTTTTGGTGGCCTCCTGCTGCTGTTGACCGTCTCTCAGCTCATTCCCCAACCCCCAGGCACATGGCTCCCCGTGCGCACGGTGGGAATCCTGCCCAACACCTGGTTCCCAGAGGGTGTCACGTTTCTGGGTCTTCTCAGAAGACCACCTGTTGTGGAAAATCGACCCACACTTGGGGAGATAACAAAGCACAAACTTTATTAGGCGCGCGCATGGGATCAAGGGGAGTTAATTCCCAAATCCTGAGCCAAAAAAGCTGGGTTTGCAGTCCTTTTATATACCAGTTACACAGGCAGAAAGGGAGGGGGAACCAGCTGCTGAAAGCAAGCATTCAGAAGCAGGAGCAAGGTTAGTGACCTTGAGATAACGTTACTTAGCAACGTCTGTTAGCCTGCTCCGTACCAAAAATAACTTTTACTCAGTTTTTGTCCTGACAAAACTTGCAAGTGTTACAGAGAGCAGTTTCTTTTCCTGCCACACACCCACCCTCAATCTGGATGCGCGCTCACCCCACCTGGTTCTTCTCAGAAACCTCTTCTCATCTTCTTTCCTCTCTCTCTCTCCTTCCTCAACTTTCCCGATGTCTTTTCCCTTCGCTCCCTCCCTCCCTCCCTTCCTCCCTCCTTCCCTTCCTTCCTTCCTTCCTTCCTTCCTTCCTTCCCTCCTTCTTTCTCTTTTTTCTTTCTTCCCAGAAAGAGCAGTTTTTCTTCTGATGTGTTTGTTTAAAAATAATGGCTAGTCCTCCTGGCTGGTGTAGCTCAGTGGACTGAGCGCGGGCTGTGAACCAAACTGTCGCAGGTTCCATTCCCAGTCAGGGTACAGGCCTGGGTTGCAGGCCACGGCCCCCAGCAACCGCACATTGATGTTTCTCTCTCTATCTTTCTCCCTCCCTTCTCTCTCTAAAAATAAATAAATGAAATCTTTAAAAAATAAAAAATAAAAATAATGGCTAGTCCTGAAAGAACGCACAGGTGAAAAAAGAGCATCGCCCTTCTGGTGGCTTTGTCCAGTGTCAGTTTAGTGCATCTGGACTGACATTTCCCAGAATCCCTTGCCTGTAGAGGACCAGGTGAGTGTCTGCCAGGAGAGATAATTCGTGTGTCATTTGCAAAGAAGAAGTGAGACTGTTGCACCAGGCCCTGTGGTGGCTTCCACACACTGCTGTCCACCCACTGGCTCCTCTTGTGGGAGCTGGGCAGCACCTGGACCTGCAGCAACTGGTCCCTGCTGCTCCTGAGTCCTGGGCCAGGTGCCCGTGTGTCACCATGGGGAAGGGCAACTTCGGAGCAGGTCACTGTCCACACACTTCGTCCTCGTGAGGTCTAATTGTCCGTGGGGGTTGCAGTTTGTCCTGATAGGTTCCACTTTGTCCTTGCTGCTGTCCACACCTAGCTTTTCTTCCTGACTGCCCATGTGGCTGACTTGTGGAGACTTTCCCGCCGAGGTCAGAGGCCAGGCAGCAGCCTGTGCACACTCGCCGGCCAGCTCCCACAATGCACACAATGCCATTTCTATACCGGGGCCCAGACTTTCCAGGTCATGGAGCCCTTCGTGTCTCAGAGCTTTTTCCTCAGTGCCCTGAGGCCAAAGCAAATACTGGACTGCTCCCCTTGTGAAGTGGCTAGATCCAAACAACTGAAGTGTTTTTGTGTGTAGCTGTTGGAAAACACACATCAATTAGAAAAAAATTATTTTATTTTTAAATAATCAGTGCTGGAAGACGATACACTGAAATACTAACATCTCAGAGAGGCTGGACTTGAGGAGTGGGAATGCAGGCACATCTCTTTACCTCTTTGGGCTTTTTACCTGTTTCTAGTTTTCTACAAAGCACATGCATTGTTTTTTGTAACAAGAAAAAAAAAGCACTATTTCAAAAGTGGAACTGGAGGATGTCCTGAAACATTCATTATCATGATATGGTTGTGGGCCAGATTTTGGTTTCTGATGCAGTTTTATTGCACCAAAGCAATGGACCGATGTTTTTTCATTCCATTAACCCTCCTTCTCTCCACTCTGCAGAGGGGGCCGGCAGGCTGCAAGGGCGGAGCTGACATGCACCTTGGCTTCCAAAGCCTATGTTTGTCCCCATTTTCTATGTGGAGGCATAAGCCCAGTGCAGAGTGACCTCCTCTTCGCCAGACAAAAGTTTTCTAAACCTTCATGATGCCAGCTTTTTCATGCAAACATAGCAGGTCCCCGCCTGAATGGGAGGGTGGCTTGGTAAGAGCACACTGGTGTCCAGAAGGAGAGAGGCCAGCCCAGTGGTGGTGTGGTGTTGTTAGGTGGGACACCCAGCCCCTTAGTGTGCTTTCTGACCGGGGCTGTCCTTTCTCCCCTTGGCTGTTCTGGCACTATAGGCTCGACAGCAGCCCCCACCCCCCAACCTGGGCTCTGTTGGCGTGTATCCACCTCACTGAGCAGAGGGCTCTTCCAGAACATTCCCAGCACCCCTCCCCCCAATCCCATACCTGTGTCTCCCAGGGTTTGCTTTGACAGGAGCTGGTCTTCAGTCGCCATGTGTGATTGAATTGATTTGTGCAAGTGACAATGGCGTCATGAGTCCATTCGAGTGCATTCCTGCCATGGAATTCAGCGCAGACACCAAGAACAATGCTTTGAAATAATGTATTGCCCCGGAAAAGCGATCGAACATCCTACTACTTAAAAACAACCAGGGCAGAAGGGAGTCCAGAGGGGAGCTGGGGAGTACAAAAGTCCATCTTCGTTACAGTCATCAACATGCACCAAGAGAAGAAACAAGCTGCAAGAAAGCACATCGAACATATACAGTGGCTGCCTTTGGGTAGTGGGGCTTATGGGTGATCTTGATGTCTGGGTTTTTTCCCTTTGTGTTAAGCATTTTTAGAAATAGTTTTTGCTACTAGGAAATGGAGTTTTAAGGAAATCTAAGTCTGAGGAACAAGGGAACAGAGACATGAGAAATAGGAGGTCCTTGCTGGGAGGTGAAGTGTTAGGGACATTGAGGGGAAATACGTTTCTTTGGGGGAAGGGCCTTCTCCACCTCCTACATGAAGGCAGAGTCCCCAGCCCACCCGCCTGGTCTGCTCCTCTGTTCCAGCCTCAGATGCCGTC